CTATGCTCACTTATGCATTATGTCTTCTTCGTCTACTCTTATATCCCTCCTTTTTTTTCTCTTCTTTCCTCCTTTCTTCATCCTATTCTACTCACACAGCTGTAGTTACCCCTCTCAATTCCCCCAAGCTACCTCTATGCGCCGAACACCCCCTATTTCTCATCCCTTCCGCTTTCTCACTCTACTCCAGCCTCCACCCACAACCCACGGCTACCACATATCTCGTAGTTACATAGTACTGCATACGCCTTCTTGGCATGGATACGTACTTAAAACCTGATAACATCATCATCATCATCGCCCGTGTATCAAGAGTACCTGACCTCACCTGGTTGTACATATATTGGTTCTCTTGTGTTAACTGCTCCTCAGTTCTTTTCATAAAGACAGTATTCATGTTCTAGTATCATAGTGAGTCCTTCAAAATACTATACACAAGGTGGGCCCAAGGCGCCGGCCGCCTGGAGTAGAGGAAGCATACTTTATGATACATGAGGACGGCCCAGAATATTCAACCCCTATCACAACATCATTTACTTATGGGTTCCACATTCACAATGAGGGTGGTTGCTCTACTAGATAGCCTCGAGTTCCAGGAAAGGACAATGTGGACGGCTGAAGTTGGGTGGAGGTGATTTATTCATGCCTCCCTACCGGCAGTAGGGCCTCCATACCATACCATAGAGCGAAGGATGGTCCGCAAGACGCGTTAAAGTGTGATACAAAGAGAAAGTAAAAACCTTGGCAAGAGGGAATGCTGGTTTAAACTCTTCGAGCTATTCTGTAAGTGAAGTATTCCAAGCTATGTAGATTTCGTGCGTATTGGACAAAGGTGGGCCCCAATTGAGCACTTCGGAAAGAACCATCAGGGAGGTGCAAAAGAGTGAGAGGACCAGGTGGGTCGAGCTTGCTTGATTAGATAAGTAACGATACTATGTATTCATCCTTGCACACATATGTACATTAGCTTAGTACGAGACCGCTCTCGGCGCCGCCCGGCAGCCTAATGCGGTATATAAACAAGATTCCTCCTCCTCCTCCTCGTCCAGATAGCTTCCCGGACATCCTTTTCCCCACCCTCCACCCTATTGTAGTTTACTAGCTTAGTCGTGACGCCAATTGATCCCACCCACCCGCACAGTCAGGTCTGCTGCCTCACGCACCGAGCCCGCGAAGCAACTGCTTTGCAGCCTCTCACACAATCCCACTAGTAGAGACAAAGCTGCTAGATGAAACGAACGGAAACAAACTCGCTAGCCCTTCGATATGCATCAAATTATCTTGGCTGACATTCAGTAGTGTTCGTCCATAAATCACATGATCTCGGATATGAGAGTCGGGGATTGGCGCTCGTCGCCGCTACCCGATGCACAGCGCACATGGCCATGGTCGGAAATGAAACTCCAGGTCTCGTGATGACAAAAACCATCTAAAACCGTCTCTTACGTAAGCATCAGAGTTGCGGACCCACTGCAGTATGCACCATAAGGCTATCCTGATCCGCTCGGGTGGGAAAAAAGGCCACTTCAAATGCCCCTGGTCAAGTTCGTTTGCGGGCTAAAAAGCACTAGTCAACTGGGCATTTTTCTGACGCGCTCAAATTCGGCGAGGCCAAGGTTCACACGAGCATTTAGAGCCTCGCTTCTTAGTATCATTTAGGCGCTCGACCAGTTTGGAGAACTTGGACAGCTATTTCTACCTCGCGCACACTCAGCAATCTGGATACCCACCACCACCCTAGTTCATGTCTCTCGCGCCGCAACCAGTTCATCCTCTAACGCACTTATAATCTCGTCCAGGCCACGCAGATCCGCAGGTCCCTTTCGAATCCAGTTTGCAGAAGACTGGCGAAACAATGGGATAATGGAGTGGCATCATTCCCTCGGCCGTCGTCCTACCAAGATCAACGTGTTTCAACTTCGTAGGGAGGGATCGGCATTCAAACACCAGTATGTTGTTCTCATCCTTTCCGACAACTGTATATTGCGTTTGGATCGGAGGGGAGATGAAGCTAACCCAGTGAACACCATGAAAGACGAGGGGACCGAATCGGTTGACACTATTGCGGATGTTGAATCGTTGTCCGACCTGGACAAAACCTCCGACTGCCTGGCCAAATTGCATTGTCAAGGCAGTAACGTAGATCTTTTGAACATCATTAAAATCTGTTTTGGCATCCACAGAGACAACAAGGCAGGGCGCTACACGCTTCAGCGCTTCAATTGCTACTTCTTTGCGTGGACACTCCTCATTGCCACCGCGCGACACATAGTGCGATGGGATATGCTCCCACCAGATTCGTCCTGGGAAACGATGTCTCAAACCTTGGCCGACGCACTATTGACGAAGACTGCGGACGCCATGATCAATCTGATGATCAAGGGAACAGTAATAACCGCGATCACGACCCGACTCAAATTGAAGTCCCAGCTGTCGCGCACCATGTCGCGTCGTGCCCGCTTGACCTGGGCAACGCCAGAATGGCTCATACGCCTTGCTGTGCGGGTAATGCTCCGAAGCTCGGGGAAGTCAGGGATCCACAGCTCTCTGCTATCCAGGTTGCGATCGGAGGTACAATCAACGCTCCGGCCAACTCTCAATTCTGTATTGACAGGTCTGCGAGCCTCCACGCTCCGAACCACTCTCTGGAAAGAAGACGTCGGGGATGCTGTGCGAGACGCTGCTTATCGTGATGCGACGACTGGCATACTAAATGCCATAACCGCGGCAGTATCGGGTATTAAACTCACGATGGAGGATGTGGATGCCTTCCGTTCTCTCGCAGGCACCTCCGGGGATACACTCCTTGGAGGTCGAATGGCGGATTGGCGTCCCGCAATTATCGCAGGGTTTGGTGCCATGATGAAAGCGGCTCCACTTTTCGCGGCTCCTGAGGCGCGTGCTATGGTAACAGATGACACGAAGTGGAATGAGCTATGGAACTCGTTGCGGGATATCGTCCGAAATGCATCTAAAGAGGCAATGAAAGACGAGGAGGGAGGATGGACGGAGCTCTGGGCTGTAGCATGGGAAACCCTCCGCCCTGAAATTCGCGACGCTTGCCGTATCACTCTAAAGGAATTGACGGATTTAACGAAGACACTCCCGGACAGTTACCTTCACATCGATGTGAGAGATACGGTATGTTTTCCAAACCTAGGGTGAATCACCATCATTTTTATAAAACCCGCCCAGGGCTCTCGTCTCCCTCACGTGTCCAGATCCGAATTCATACCTGGATTGGCCGATACCACGCAGTCCGAACTGCAGCCATATATGCTAAAACTTATCCGAGACCACGGTCGTGTCGTGGCCGCTTTCACCTCGGTTCGCCAGCCAAAGTAGAGAAAGATATACGAGAGGCGATGGATCGGGTTTGGAGGGTAGTGGCAGATTTGGATGGAGGGGACGCGAACGGGAGCGGCGATCACAATGCAGATGTCTCGCAACCACCGTATACGACCGAGCGATGACACTCCACCAAGGATACCATCGGAACTGACTACTATGTTGGAAGTCAGCCGGATCGGATTTATCAGACCACTTTTACGATTTCCTTCGCCCGCGTATCAGTACCCCTTAGATTTTTGGCCTATGCTCACTTATGCATTATGTCTTCTTTGTCTACTCGTATATCCCTCCTTTTTTTTTTTCTCTTCTTGCCCCTTTCTTCATCCTATTCTACTCACACAGCTGTAGTTACCCCCTCTCAATTCCCCCCAAGCTACCTCTATGCGCCGAACACCCCCCTATTTCTCCTCCCTTCTGCTTTCTCACTCTACTCCAGCCTCCACCCACAACCCACGGCTACCACATATCTCGTAGTTACATAGTACTGCATACGCCTTCTTGGCACGGATACGTACGTAAAACTGATAACATCATCATCATCATCGCCCGTGTATCAAGAGTACCCGACCTCACCTGGTTATACATATATGGTTCTCTCCTGTTAACTGCTCCTCAGTTCTTTTCATAAAGACAGTATTCACTGTTCTAGTATCACAGCGAGTCCTTCAAAATACTATACACAAGATGGGCCCAAGCACCGGCCGCCTGGAGTAGAGGAAGCATACTTTATGATACATGAGGACGGCCCAGAATATTCAACCCCTATCACAACATCATATACTTATGGGTTCCACCATTCACAATGAGGGTGGTTGCTCCACTAGATAGGCCTCGAGTTCCCAGGAAAGGACAATGTGGACGGCTGAAGTTGGGTGGAGGTGATTTAATCATGCCCCCCTACTGGCAGTAGTGCCTCCATACCATACCATAGAGCGAAGGATGGTCCGAAAGGCGCGTGAAAGTGTGATAGAAAGAGAAAGGAAAAACCTTGGCAAGAGGGAATGCTGGTTTAAACCCTTCGAGCTATTCTGCAAGTGAAGTATTCCAAGCTATGTGGATTTCGTGCGTATTGGACAAAGGTGGGCCCCAATTGAGCACTTCGCGGAAAGAACCATCAGGGAGGTGCAAAAGAGTGAGAGGACCAGGTGGGTCGAGCTTGCTTGATTAGATAAGTAACGATACTATGTATTCATCCTTTGGGTTCAGTCTAGCCCTTGGATGTCAAGAGGCTGGGAACGACCCTACTTACGAGGCACCCGCGCAACCACGTCCTACGCCGCCAGCCGAACCTTTTGCTTCCGCTTCGTTTCATTGTTTCGTCGTTTCATTGCATCTCACTGCTCCTGCCGGTAGTCGGAGCGCTGGGGGAGACACTCCTGTTTGTCTTTCCTCCCTCACCTGGTGCTGCTAATTATGGTGTGGTTTTTGGTGGTGCTAAGTTGTGAGTCCCCCCTTACTGTATCCCGATTGCCCGCCCTCCCGCACAGCCGGCCGGGATTCTCACGCGCCAAACTCCGCAACCAGCGAAGAGACTGAATAGTCAAGGTCATAGTGTATGAACTTGACAGATCAGATTCAGTCGAAGTGGCCAAAGTGGATTGTTTTGGCTTTGGCATCCAAGAATTATTACATTGAGATCAATGGACTAGGTCACCATCGTCCAATGGTTAAGACGCCACGTTGTGGATAGTAGTGTCCGTGGCGATCCAGGTTCGATTCCTGGTAGTGACACATTTTTTTCGTTATAACCCCGTGCCCTTCCGCGGATCTAGCCGGTATTCAATCAGCTTCCTTCATTTTAGCTTGCTATGGAGACCTTGCGAGAAACAGAACCCTCGTCGACCCCGTCTCCTCACCTGGAGAAACCTCCACCGACTTCTAAGCATTTGCGGGGTCGACGTGATACAAGGACTCCCGAAGTGGAGACAGAGGATGGCTCTGGATCCGGAAGCAGTGAAGAGGAAAAGGTCGAGGAAGAAAATGCTTCTGATGATCGCGTCGTCAAGCCACTTACGGCCGAAGCGCTCGCTGAATTCGAAGCTGCCCAGGCGCGCACAGGTGTGGTGTATATTTCCCGGATACCACCAGCCATGCGCCCATCCAAAGTTAGACATCTTATGAGCGCACATGGACAAGTTGGGCGCGTGTATCTTCAACAGGAAGGTGCGTCCGCTTCAGTTTTTGTGTTCGCATACCATCTGCTTATGTTCTGTATTCTACATCCACTCAAGACCCAAAGCGTGCCCATTTGCGACGTAAATATACATCTACGAAAAAGGCACATTACACCGAAGGCTGGGTAGAATTTTTGGATAAGCGAGTTGGGCGAGCAGTTGCGAGATGCTCAACGGTCAGCCCATCGGCGGTAAAAAGGGCACTCGATGGCATGACGATATTTGGACGATGAAATATCTCCCTCGATTTAAGTGGAACATGCTCACCGAACAAGTCGGTATGTAATCGCCTCGTATCCCGCTTCCACTCTATCCTTACCATTGTTCTTGGGCAGCTCACGAGGCGGCTTCACATACCGCTCGACTGCGAGTCGAACTTACGCAATCCAAGGCAGAGCAGCGAGATTATCTCAAAAATGTGGAGCTTGCTCGTGTTTTGGCAAAGCGAGAGGAAAGAAAACGGAAACACGATGAGACTGGTGTTGCATCCTCCACAGTGTCCCATCCTGAAAAAGTGCGACGGACAGACGGGAAGAAGGACGGCAGATCGCGACCGGTGGCTCCGGAACATGGTGGAGGGAATTCCATACATGATCATGACCTAGCAGAAGTAATAGGACAGATATTCTGAAATAATGTTTGGGGTGTCCGCTGACATAAGCATCCTGGTTAAATCCGCGCCAGCACCGAGCTCGGACTCAGCTCCCGCTACAAGGAGAGATTAAGCAAGAGGTCTGTTCGTCTCTCTTCCACCATGGACATTCGACTCAGCCCTCATGCTGTCCAACCCATTTCTATCTCCTCTCACGTCTATGAACTACTTGGAATTTACGCCTCTTTGCTTCATCTTCTACTTTTGATAACCTAGCTTTCTTCTATTCCCTGCTGGCATGTCCATCTGGCCACCTCCTTCTGGCGACGTGCCACCCATCCCCGTATCGCGTTCGGGATCCCCAGATCGGCGAAGCATATATGACGGTAGGCGATACTTTGAGGCTTACCCTCCAGACCAGTACCCGTATGACAGAGACGGCTACGGTCGAGATCGGCACTATCCTTCGGACTACGATCGGGAACGCGACTGGGCAGAGTGGGACAGGCGCCGCCTAGCGACTCGTGGAAGAAGCAGGAGTCCCGTTCTCGATGACGGTTCGTGGCTATTGTCTCTGAGAGTCTGATCAACTCTTCATGTACACTCTTACAGCTCGTCGCAAGCGACGCCGTTCGTATTCTCCGCATGAACGAGATCGCTACGACCCACGTCCCCGCTACGATGATGGTAAGTGTCCCTGGGTGGCCGTTACTGGGGCCCTCTTCTCCAGCCTCGCATCTAAAGATTATCGTGGTTTAGGACGTGCACGATCCCCCGGAAGTTATCCACCCCGCGGCGGGGGCTCTAGGTTCCCTGACCCATACGAATTAGATGTTCCGGCGAACTTTCGCGCCTTTGCAGACTGGTTCCAAGCAACCCACCCGGACGAGTACCTAGCTGACGAGGGACCCGATGGCCCCAGGGATTCCAATGGTCAGCCCAATGGCCTAAGGAGGAGGTACGAAAGGTACCGGAAAGTTATGATCTCCAAGCAGGTCAGTGGCTTGATAAAGAAGAGCTTGTCTTCCAATAATGGATTTCCCACAGATGGCCACTATGTTCAATTATCACAAAGCTTCCCCCTGGTTCAACGAAAAATACAACCCTGCTGAGCCCTACGTAAATTTGCGACTACGCGTTCGAAGAGAAGGGTGGCTGGGACGAGTTTCGAATTTCATCAGCGAACTTGATGAGGGCGGACATGATCCAATACTGGGTCGGCCAGAAACATCTATGCCTGAGGCCTCTCCCATTTCTCCCAATGGAGATACTGAAATACCATCGGCGGAAGAGGTTAAAAGTCGAAGAGACCCCTGAAGGCGATGACGAACTCCCATCTGCCGATAATAACATTCAATCCAACGGTCACCTCAACGGCAAGAAGGCTGGGGGGCTTGAGCCTGATGGTTTCAAGGCCAAGCTTCGCGACGACGAAGTCAGCGTGCTTCCTGAAGGGAACCAGGTGTTGATCAGAACTATTCCTCCGGATATTGGCCGAGTCAAGCTGGAAAGAGTGAGCGCCATACGTCAGTGCTTTGTAATTAAGGGCCTAACGTTTCGTCATTAGATTTGTCGCATTGCTCCCGGTTTTGTTCACCTTGCTTTAGGCGACACAATGCAAAAGAGGAATTATTACCGTGCGGGATGGATCAAATTCAGAGAGGATGCAGATATGACAGCAGTGATCGATAAGCTTGGGGAAGAAAAAGTGTGTGTGCTTACAAGACCGGACCCTCTCCCTCTAACGTAGCGTCGATGAGCAGATTGAAGGTTTCAAACTTCACGTCACCCACAGTACTCGTCCCTTTACTGCTAGAGCTCGCTACACCCCTGAGTGTGCCAGTCGTCCTGAGCGTATCGAGAAGGACCTTGTAGCAGTGAAGAAACTCGTATCTATTCTCGAGGAGGAAGCCAGTAACCTTGCTAGGCTTCCCGAAAAATTACCGGAGCCTCGCAATTTGAAGAAAAGTCAAGGCGGAGAGCTACCTGATGATACTGAAGAGGCTACAGAGGGTGATCCGGAACCAAATGTCGACGGTGAGATGTCCGTTGATGGACCACAAGAGTCCAAGGATCGTGGGACCGTAGCCGTCGAGAGTAGGCTCGAAAAACTGTTCGGGGACCTGCAAGATCAATACATGGTAAATGATGACCATGATGAGCTGGCTTTAACGGCGAAAAAGGTGAGTCTCATCCAGCTCGTCATTTTCGAGGCTGAGTGTTGTTTCCAGAATGAGATCACGCTCGATCTGTACCTCGCATATCTACGTACCGCCTTTAATTGTTGTTACTATTGTTCAGCAATAACTGATCATGTGGAGGAGTTGCAACGGAAGTGTATTCAGCATATCCGACGCCCCTTGTCTCCAGGTGATCATGGAAGAGGTAAGATGACTCGAGTTTCGCCTCCTGCATGGAATGGTGACTTTCAAGCCGTAGACGATCGTTGGGAGGAAATGATAGATCAAAAAACTAGCCTCCTAATAGAGCGTGACTCTGTCGATCCCCGTGACCATGGTGGCAAGTCTTATGAAGAGTCAGTGGCTTGGCTTTGGCCTTCTTTTTGCGTCAAGCTAACTTGCAGCGTTCAGGGAACTGGGAAAAGCCGTTGAACCCCATGTCAAGCAAGAAGATGAGGGCAAATTCCGCTGCAAGTCGTGCAACAAACTATTCAAGGCGACAAGCTTCGTACAGAAGCATATTGTGACGAAGCATCCTGAATTGGTCAAGCAACTAGAGGAGGTGAGCTCGACGGTATCGTGGAACGATTCCCAGCCTGACGTCATAGACCCAGATGCAGCTTACTTTCTTCAACAATTTTGCTCTCGATCCTCATAAAATTCAGCCATTTAGTCATGCACCCCCTTCCTCTGGAAATGGGCAGCAAGCACCACCTGAAGCCTATGGCCTTCGGCAAGCAGCACGCCCTCTTGGTGTCCCTGATGGCCGTTCTCGCAGTGGCAGTAATTCGTATCCCCAGTACCCCCCTCAAAACTATTATGCGCCCACCCCATATGGGTACGATTATTTTGCGCCTCCATCACGCGGTGGTTATTACGATTACCCCCCCGCTCCCCCTCCACGTGGTTACGGCTACTATGAAGGACCTGCGCCCCCCAAGAGTCGAAGTCCTCCACCAGGACGCAAGCTCTCCGATCGTCTTGGGGATTTTGCTGCTGGTGGCCACGGAGGCCATGGTCCCCGAGCGTCCTTTGACGGTCTGCCTCCCAAGCCCTCCTGCAGCTGTTACGGCAACGTTGGAACCAGGTCCTGGCGCACGCAGGGGTCGTAGGGCTAGTCTGAACGTGGACTCAATGGGCACACCCGCCATAGGCGGCCCTCCGCCTCCTGACGCCCGTGAGGATCCTAGGGCAGCTGCTGGTCGCAAGGTCAGCTACTACGATATCGATCGCATGGCCGAGGGTGACGTGGAGTTGACTTATTGAGGGCTCCATATTTTGGTTCCTTTCACTGCTTGTTTTGCGTTTCCTTTTTTTTTGTTTGCGTGCGCGGGGGTGCACTTTATATATGTTTGAAGTGCCTATTACCCCAACATGAAGGAGGTTGGACCACAGTTCAATGTAACTGTTCCTGTGTTGTCCATGCTGCGATACGCGTCTTGTTCGTACGCCATAATTCATGAAAAAAATACATTAAATTTGTACGACTCAAGTGGAGGGAAACGCCCAGCGCCTATTACCGAACACACTTCTTCATTGATGCCAGTGATCGCCGCGGTCCCAGGGACCAAAGAGAGGACGGGAACTGTGTGAGCGCATACAGTGACCGATCTCAGCAGTCAGAAAGTATTGAGCTGGGGCGAGGCGAACTGAATACTTTGCCCTATCCTAAAGTGGCAAGGGGCAATCCAGCTGCGTCTGTGTTTTGGCGTCGATTTAGATGTCAGACAATAGACAATACAAGGAAATTCGACGCTTGTCATTATGGCGGGGGAACGGTGACCC